AAAGAAGCAGTCGGGTTTGCATAAATAACTTCTTCTCTTCAAAAAGCGATTAAAATAGGAATAACTTGGTTTGTCTAGATGTTGCGCAACTTTGTAGAACTTCAAAAATTCGGCAAAAACCAAAGTAATTGGCGGGAAACAGTATTTGTTCGAATGGAGCAGTATATGTGTGTATATCAAGAAAGAACACAAAAAATTGGGGAGGGAGCGCCGCGCGGCAGCCGAGAATTCTTTTTGGCTGCTTCTGATAAATAAATAAATAAATAAAATAATGAATAAATAAATAAATAAGCAATAACTAAGTAGATAGCTGTATGAATATAATTGAAAAATTTAATATGAATATGAAGATAAGTGTAAATAAATATATATGTAAATATATAGATAGCTTAATATAAATAAATAAACAAGTAAACAAATACATAGATAGCTTATAGATAATATATAGAAGCTGAAAAGCAGAACATAGCAGAGAGTCTTTAAAGTAGTTTATGCAGACAACAGAAAATTTATCAAATGCACAAATTGTTCACATACCACATCCTGAATACTTAAATATGAGTTATTTTTCGTGAAATACTGGAAAATTCTAACATCTTAAAATTTGTAGAAGCGAAAAATGATTTCAAATCTATTAGAAATTTGTTGTTTTATGTTGGTCGAGGCACTTTTCTAGCACGTAGTCCTGATTGGTGGCATTGCATAATTTGATCCCATTTTGCAAGGCATACAACAAGGTCTTTCCGCAGTGACTTTACTCCCCAGAAGCGACGAGGGCTTGCCTAAACACAGTATTCTCAGAATCAAACTTTACGGGCTCTTTAGCAGAGTGATTTCTCAAAAAAGGGATTCAAATTCAGAGTAACGTTCTCATCCAACATTAGGGGTCTTTTTGCCCTATAATTGTTCACTCGAAATTGGACTTCAAAACTCGTACTCCTCAATGCGAATTTGTTGCTCAAGACAGTTCGCATGATGAATACGTAGTTAACCTCTAGTAAAGAGTACTGTTC